TTGCTTGCAAGATTTGAAGTATTTAGAGATTTATTTATAATAAGATAAATAAAGATTTATATATAATTTATTTATAATAAGTATTTAAAGATCAAAGACAGCCATCAGTGTGGATTGCACCTCATTGTAAAGAAAACAAATATCCTCACAACTGAACCAAAAAATAAATCAAGATAAATGGAGAAGATTGAAGTAGTCAAGGATTTCATTATACTTGGATCCACAATCAATACTTATAAAAGCAGCAGTCTATAAAACAAATGACGTATTGTATTAGGCAGTTCTATTGCAAAAGGTCTTTTTTCTGTGTTAAAGAGCAAAGATGACACTTGAGGACTAAGTTACTCTTGATCCACATCATGATATTTCCAGTCGCCTCATATACATGTGAAAGTTGGACAATGAATAAGGAAGATTGGTAGAAGAATTGATGCATTTGAATTATGGTGTTGGCAAAGAATATTGAAAGTACCATGGACTGCCAGAAGAACAAGACAATCTGTCTTGGGAGATGATAGCCAGAATGCTCCTGAGAAGCAACAATGATATTTCGTCTCTTGTACTTTGAACATGTTGTCAAGAGAGACCAGACCCTGGAAAAGGTCAGTGAAAAAGAAGACCCCAATGGATTGACTGACACAGTGGCTGCAACAATGGGCTCAAACATGACAATTGTGACGATGACACAGGATCGAGCTATGCATCTTCTATTGATCAAAGAGTTGCTATTAGTCAGAATTGAACCAATGGTCCCTAACAGCAAAACAATAACATCCTCCCATTGCTGGGCAGTTGTTCTCTGCCTAGAATGCTTTGACCCAGATATCGCCTTGGCTGCTTGCTTCTCCTTTTTCAAGTTCTTAAAACTCCCTCTCAAGGAGACTTCTGATCACTCTGTTTAATCCTGCCATCTTCCCACCTTAAATGCCAGATATGCCTTAATCTACTTTATGATTTCTTTCATCTATGTCATCATTGTTAAGTGTCATCAAGTTGATTCCAACTCATAGCAACCCTGTACAGAGCTTCCAAGGAGCAGCTGTTGGGCTTGAACTGCTGACCTTGTGGTTCAAAGTCTAGTGTTGGTCCCACATCGTCACACCAGTAGTCCACTGATAGCATTTATTACTTTCTAAAATACTGTGCAGCATTATTTATTGGGTTTATTTATTTATTTTTTCTTCCTTCCCAAGAATTTTAACTTCTTAGAGTCAAGGATCTCTTGCTTCCCAAGCCAAGGATATCTTACTACCCAAGAGTCTGGAACAGTGTCTGATATAGTCTTAGCATTATTGTTGAATTAATTTAAGAAACTTCCAGGTAAACACCTAAAATGATGGAAAGTGTCCACTTTGTTGTTGTTAGGTGCCATCGACTTGGTACCAATTCATATTGACCTTATGCACAACAGAATGAAACACTGCCCAGTCCTGGGACAAACTATAATTATTGCCACGCTTGAGCTCACTGATCCTGCCACTTTTCCAATCCATTTTACTGGGGGTCTTGCTGTTTTTCTCTGACCCTCCACCATACCAAATATGATATCCTTCTCCAGCAACTGGTACTTCCTGACAATACGTCCAAAATATGAGAGATGAAATTTGGTCATCCTGGCCTTCAAGGAGCACTCTGGCTACATTTCTTTCAACACAGATCTGTTTGTT